ACGACGTCTTCTTCCGCTCTTTCTTTACCTCCTTTCTGTCCTGTGGCTCCTTTGTCAGCCAGTCAGGGACAAGAGGGATTGGAAGTAGAAGGGACGAGGTGTTAGGAACCTGGCATTGTCACGCTGCTCTCTCAGCTAACACTGGGTGGAGACATTTCTTATGGGGGTGCACTTTGAGTTCCTTGACAAAAGCATGCATTTTCAGGTTAACCTCTTGCAACAAACTCCCCCCCACCTCCCAGCCTCAGGTCCTGCTTCTTGTAGTCTTCTACCCTCTTACTAATGAAATCCCCAAGCCTCACCAGGCAACCTTCTCTGGTGGGTTTGTTCTAGATGCTTGGGCGTGGGTACCAGCTACAAGACTTAAGTGCATCCCACACTGAGCCAAATGGTGGAAGTGAACGCCATTCCCACTCCATCCTCTCCTTCACCTTCCATTTGGGGTGGGGCAGGGAGACTCCAACCAGCTTCCTGCCTTCCAAATCTTCCGAATTCAGCAGGCTCTAGATTTTTCTGGTTATGAATGCTTCCAAGGTATAGGATATTCAAATGAGTTTGTTCCAAGAATTCTAACACCAAGCTTCTCTTGGACCCATAGGAGTGCTAGGGCCTGAGCTTCCCCACTCAGTAAACTTCTAGGTCCTTCCTCCCAGGGTCCTCTAATCCCTGTCCCAGCAGAGGAGAGAGAACACCCCCCACCCTCCCGCTGTGTGGACAGCTCCCTGCTAACTCCTCCATGCACTTTCAAATTTCTGATTTCAGAAGTAGGTAGGAAATGGGGGTTGGTAATCATCAGGCGAACCTACTGTTTTTTGGAAAGTCCTCAAGGATATTCCTGGCATCCTTCTTCAGGAGATGGAATATTTATTCTACCTGGTGTTCTTTTCTAGAGCTCCACGTCCTCCGTCCTCTTCTCCAGAGAGGCATCCTCACGGAGTAAGACATCATTTGGGCCCTACTTTTCCCAAGTGAGAAATTCTTAAAAGGCAGAAGTCGTTGTCAAGGAGAAAATAGGTATCAATCTGATAGGACCTTAAGTGCTGGCCAGGTGAGGACATCTTTCTCGGCTTGGGAATACAAGTTTTCTCGCTGAGAGCCATTTGTCACCTTCTTCAACTTCAATACTTTCAAAGCCCAGGTGTGCGTGACCTGATGCCCCCCTCCCAAAAAAAAAAAAAAAAAAAAAAAAAAAGGAGACAGTCAGGATCCCTGTTCTCAAGGGTATTTGTGGCCTTGGAACAAAGTGATACAAATATGGAACCAGATGTGTCATTAGATATTAGTTTAACTCAGACGTAAGTCGCCAAATTCCTGCTCCTCTCTTGGCTCTTGGTGCCACGAATGAAAGGCTTGAGGGAAAGTGTTTATGTTGGTTGTGTTTTTCTCTTCTCACATCTGGTGATTCTTTGTTTTTGGTGGAATACTGGCGAGTTGCTAGAAGGTTTGATTTCCTTGATGCTGCTCCGTAGTCACCGATTTCCGACTTCGGCAATAATTCCTGTGCCAATCTCCAGCTTTTCTATATTTACCGGCAGCTGCTTCAGTGATGGGGAAACAATTTTCTCAACAGCTGAAAACCATGAAGATACAGAGTGGGACATTTTGTTCTTTATACAAGAGCTTAGTTGGGATGAGCATGGGAGGAATGAACAACCCAGCTCGAATCTTTTTGTCTCTGCATCTTTTCCACTTTTCCCAGCATGACATCAGGCATAAGTGGAGAATTTATGGTTTTGTCCAGAAAGGAATGAGTGAGCAGCCTCTGCGGCATATGCCGGAATAGTTTGTTTCAGCCAGTGGGACCGGTATTCTACCTTCTAGGAGGTGGTCTTTGATTTGCTGGGTTTATGTCTAAAGGTTTGGGAGGAAGGAGGCTCATCTCCATCTCTGCTTCTGACCCCACTTTACCAGCTGCCTCGCTCTAGACATTCGGCATTCGGTGAATGCTTCTCTGTAAACCATTGTCGAAGTCAGTTGCAGAACATCTGCCGTCCATAGGATGCTGCAGGGCACAGAGGAGTTGAGAAGTGTGGGACACCACCTGTGTCCAGACGGCAGGCATTCTGACCATATGACTGAATAATAAACGGTCCCCTCTCTATAAAGCCCTCACATGGTGCCTGGTTCATCCAAAACCCTCAGTGCGAAATGGTCAGAGAAGTTGCTGTCGCTCTCAAATTGTGTCTCAGCTGCTTTCAAAGCTCTGGGATATCTGGGCATTCATGTAAAGAGAGCAAGACTTGACCATCCAGAAATGGGGCCTCTAGTCCTAGCTCTGCTCCCACCAAAGAAAGGTAGAGCCACACTGAGAGGCTAACATGGACCAGGCATTCTAAGTATTATACAAAGCATGTCACAGCTGGCATTTCACACATGAAGAAGAGGGGATTCAGAGATGGTAACTTGCCCAAATTAATCCTGGAGTCCTAATTCCAAAGCCTGGGCTCTTACCATCCCCAGGCCTTCCATCTCCCTAGATCTCAGCACTGTGCAGGGACAGACCCCATATGGCTCTGCCAACCCTCCTGAGCCCTACTGTTTTCCGTATCTAAAACTGAAAGCCATCTCTAAAATTTATTTTCTGACTTTAAAAAAAAAAAACAAAAAAACCAACCCGGTATCTTCCTTATTATTGTAAATCTTTACTGCCACCTAGTGGGCATGATCTAATCAGAAGAACGAAAAAAAAAAAATCAGTTCAAGGTGGATTAGAAATTGTCAATTCAAAAAAAAATTGTCAATTCACCTTACTGATCCCATGCTCCTAACCTTTAAAAATTGTACATATGAGCAAATATCATGGCCTTCCACTTAGTCAACTTATAGTAAACTACCAGGTGTGATACCCCTTCATAAAGATTTTTGTTGAGATGCTGGGAAACATAAACTCTAGTTAAAAAAAAAAAAAAACTACATTATGCTTTGTGATCATATAATACACATTCAGCTAATAGTGGGCAATACTTACAGAAATCTTAATCTGCAATAATTTAGAACTTGTATAGCAAGTATATTTTTAACTTTATAAATATTTGCTTTTTTTTTAACATTCTTATGATAACAAAAAAATAATTCAAACAACACAGAGGACACGAAGTAAAAAGTCCTCCTTCACAGAGAAAAGTATCTTAAGAGTTTTGTTTTTTTTTTTTCAAGAAATGTGTTGTTTCCTATACAAGCATGTGTGCAAATACATATAGAGCCTTTACTGCTTTTTTCTAAATTAGCTTATGCTACATACACTGTTCCATAGGTTGCTTTTTTTAAAACTTAATCTATTTTGAACATTATTCCATGTCAGCACACAAACTGACCTCATTCTTTTTAACAATACATACTATTCCTGTATTCCAGATTCTACCATAATTGATGTAACCAGCTCCTCAGTATGGCTCCATTGGCTCTTTTCAGTTTGGTTGTTACAAAAGTGCTGTAGGAAATTACTTTATTTTCCTCAGGGAATACATACGTGGACACATGCCAGACACACACGCGCGCGCGCGTGCACATACTCTTTTGAAATTTGTTTTGTAGACTAAAATCTTATACAGGAAATTGCTGGATCTAAAGGTATATTGATTGATACCCACTGACCAAAGTTCACCAGAAACATGCCTGTAGTCAAAAAAAAAGAAAAGGAAAAATAGTGAAATTAATGTAAGCCGCAGCAAGGGAGAACAGTAGGGGAGTCATCGTGAGTCTCTCTGGAGGAAATGTCATAGGATGGAAGCACTTGGTGGGTGGTATTAAGAGGGAGGATAGGCAGCGGGAGCCCTTCTGGACGGGGTGCTGTCAAGACGCAGGAACAGGTCCATGGTTGCGCATCTCACCAAGTTTTTCTAGGAGGAGAGAAGAGTTGAAGTAGGGCTAGGAAGGAGTGTCACTAGTAAAGGAGCAGCAGTCACACATGTGGTCGGAAGAGGGGGGTGTTTCATCATTCTGTGCGCTGACTGGCCTTGTCTGGGCGTTGTTATATTCCGTGTTTCTCTAATTTGCAGGGACACGATGGCCAACCTCCCGGCAAAGCTGGGTCTCGTTTGCTCAGCTGCGTTGATTTTAACTGTCAGTGGATGTTTATATTGCTTTCCAAAAAGGTTGCATCAGTTTACCTTCTTCTGGGTTCTTTTAAGTACTCAACTTCCTAACAACGAGGTATTTAATCATCAGAATAATGGCGATTATAATAATAGGAAATGTTTATAGGGCCACTTCCCATGTGCCAGCCTCAGTGCTAACCATTACTTCATTGAATCCTCGTCGGAGGTTTGAGACAGGCCCTCATAAGACCCCAGCTTCCATACGAGGAAACCAAGGCTTAGAAGGGGAGAGAACTGGCCTGGGTCATGTGGCAGGCCAACAAGTTGTTGAGCTGGGCTGGGACCCAGGAACCAGGCCAGCTCCTTCCAGAGCCCACACCCTTTACCACAAAGAAACACTTTCTCCTTCATCTGCTTCACAGGAGCCTGCCACGGAGAATGTAAAGCTAAGGAATTAAGAGCTATTCAATTGATGGTCACACATCTTCCAAAGTCTGGTTTAGGATGATAAGGCAGGAAAGTCCCATGAACAAAAATGAGATTCACGGGCGTCTTTCCAGGTGTCCCATATATATCGTTGGGTGAGGTGTTCAGCACGTGATGCTCAACTACTCACATGTGCCCTCAATTCATAGAAGCCTAGGAGAGCTTCCCGAAGATCACAGCCAGGACAGCGAAATGAAATGTTCTGTGGGCCAGCTGGAGCTTGGGGGTATGTCAGTCACCACCAAGGCAATGAATGGAGGAAGGACATCCATCCCCTGGATCCACTGGGGTCCCTGAAGCTCCCAAGCTGTGTGAGGCTAAGAAAGACAGGATGCAGGGAAAGGAGGGGAAGGATGTGGTGCCTAAGTAACTATTTGTTGGGTGCAGGCGGGCGCACACCAGGGTTCAGAGCTGGGCTTCGTGCTTGGATTTTGCAGAACAAACGGGGAGTAACGGCGAGTGGCTGCTCTTTTCCAGACTGTGCTGGCTGCGGGAGAGACATCAAGAATGGGCAGGCGCTGCTGGCCCTGGACAAGCAGTGGCACCTGGGGTGCTTCAAGTGCAAGTCCTGCGGGAAAGTTCTCACCGGGGAGTACATCAGCAAGTAAGGCTGGGGTCCCAGCCCCATCCCCACCCCCTCCACGGGACAGAATGAGAGACATATGCATCCCACCCTCAGTGCGAACTTCTGCTGTACAACTTCTTTAGTTTTCAGGAATTTTATTCTGAGGCTGTTGCCATAGTCTGTTTGCAATACATTTAATGAAGTGGGAATCCTTGCCTCATTCAGCAATTAGCAAAGCTGACATAATGTTGCTCTATCTGTTGTCATCAATTAAGCATTTAGTCATTTTACTTTCCCTATTTTTTTTTTCCTATTTGGAACTAGTAAACCTTTGACCACCTTCTAGGTCTTGAACGTATTTGTAGACACCCCCCCACACACACACCCTAAAGGAAACCACACAGGGTCTAAGCACTGAACCCATTGGAACCAACGCACCAAACAACCTGCCAGGAATGGGTTCCTGTTAAGAGTCCGATGCCGGCGCAGATAACAGCTGGAGGAGGGGAAGTGGTGGTGGTGGTGGTGTTTTAATGCAGCTTGGAGAAGCCAGTTGCAGTGGTTACCTTTTGAGTTAAGGAAAGAAAGAATGAGTATGGGGGGTCCAGTGGCAATGAGGGACAATTTTCCCCCATAAACCCTCCTATGCTTCAAAAAGTGTTCTCCAACCAGGTAAATAATCTCAGCTATTCAAAAAAAAATTAAGGGAATTTAATTTAAGAATAGAGTGAGACAACAACCGCAAAAGTAGCACGGGCCCCACCCCCTGGAAATCCAACTCTATAGGTCGGGGAGAAGCCAAAACACCTGTATCAGAAGGAAGAAACTTCACAGGTGATTTCTGATGCGCAGGCAAAGAAAAAAGAGACAGGAAAGTGCCCGGATGTTAAACTAGCCCGGTAGGCTGTGTGGGAGTAGGTAACTGGGCTTTCTGCAGTGCTGCTTTTTGGTTTTTTCCCCTCAAGGGCACACCTAGAAAACTACATGTTTACTATCCTCTGAGGTTAATAAAGAGGTTTTGAGAGGCTGGATGAGAAGACCCTGTGCCCCTCGGGCTTCCTGAGGGCGGAGGACACAGCATCTCACTGCTGCTGGGAGGGCCTGGCATGTGAGCTCAAGGAAGCTGTGAGGGGAAGGTGGCCTTGGGGCCTCCTCAGAGGAGGGTGAACACTGCCACCACATCTGAAGTGATGGCTGGTGGGGAGAGGGAATGGTGCCCGTGTTTTGCTGTTTGAGACAACAGGGAAGCAGCAGTGGTAATCATGTGGTGATTTGGCTGTAATTTCTGTGTAGCCCAGAGAACCACAGCCCTCTGTCCACATCGTTTGGGTCCCTGCGTTGTGATCATGTCTGACCAGGTCCCCAGGCATGCAAATGCTGGGCGGGGTTAGAAGCACAGCCTGCTTCCATTCTGTGGAGAAGGGCTCTGAGAAATAGGGTCCTGGTGTCTTCCCTGCCCCTCAGCCCCCTCTCAGGAGCTGAACAGCCTTCTGTTTTGCAGGGATGGCACTCCGTACTGTGAAAAGGACTACCAGGGGCTCTTCGGGGTGAAATGCGAGGCCTGTCACCAGTTTATCACAGGGAAAGTCCTGGAGGTAAGTGGCTGCAGTCAAAGCTACTGTCATTTTCCTCAGAAGTCGTCAGAAACACAAAAGAGGCTCTTATTCCTTTTTTTTTTTTTTTTCCCATCTTCACCTCTGTAGGAAGGAGAGTAGTTGTCAATGATGGATCTCTCAGAGATTTAACCTGCGGGGTCGTCTTCAGAGGCAGTTTTTACTCAATGTTCACACGCAACTGAAATGATGGAGAATTTACCAAAAGTGATAAGGGGATGATGAGGAATTATGGAGAAGGAAGGGTTACATGAGACTATTTTTAGACGTCAGAAAATAGGAAGTGAAGAGCGTGTTAGAGCCACATGTGTGCCTGCATGTGAGAACTGTGCGCATGTGTGTGTGCTTCTGTGGGAGTGCAATGTATGTGCGTGTGCACGTACGTGTGAGAGCATACAGACTCGGAGCAGGGGCTCAGAACTGAAGCAAAGGAAGGGAGGGTGAAAGGTGAAGGCAGACACTTCCCCACCCTTAAAAAAACCACATCCTCTGTGACCCAGAACACCCTGTGGGCTGGGCTGAGCCACAGCCTGTCAGGTTCAGGTGTGACTCTCGTGCCACCGAGCCTGGTTCCTGCTTTCTCAGCAGCGGCCCCCCCAGTGCTGCCTCTGGGTGGAGTGGGGCCCCTCAGGAGCCATTCCCCTCCTGTGGAATGAGGGGCCAGAGTTCAGAGGGAGTCAGTGCCCAACTTTACCCCGGCCGAGGGGCGTTAACCAGATCTGATTAAAAAAAAAAAAAAAAAAAAGATTACCTCATATCTGTCCCACATTTCAGGGTGGAGAATGTGTCATGGGCAGAGGTAAGTCAGGATGCCCAGCAGCTGGGAAGGCCACCAACGGGTCCTGCAGCTTCCACAGACCCCAGGGCACCGACGCCACATAAGCCATTCAAACCTCCCAGCAGGGCGTTTCAGAGACACCGGGCATAAATCTGACGGGCCCCCAAGTGTCTGTGGGCAGCTTCTGTGGGCTTGCACAGCGAAGTCTAGCACAGCTTTCCTAACCCCACAGCAAGCTCGGGGCTGCCTTTCTTTCCAGGAGACGTAGAAGGGCCAATGTCGGCTCTGTGCTAGGACCTGGTGTAGCTACCTGGATTTGGGAGATAAGGAAGTGACTGTTAGGGGCAGTTGTCTTTTACCCAGGGGTAGGGGCCTCCAGAGAGGCCCAGAGGTGAGGACAAGGACAGCAGAAACAAGTCAGGTGGGCAGGAGTGCAGGTGTGAGAGGTGATGCTGGGGCCCGTGACCGGTCAGAGCATGAGGACTTCGAGAGTCACACTCAGGACTTGGGGCTTTCTCCTAAGAATGGTGGGAAGCCGTTGAAGTGACTGTGGTTAGAGTCGAGCGTGACGGGATCACATTGCTGTGTGAAGAACGCACGGGGCGGCGCCCGGGTAGCTCAGCCGGTTAAGCGTCCAACTCCTGGTTCTGGCTCAGGTCACGATCTCAGGGTAGTGGTGAGCTCTGCACTCAGCTCAGAGTCCGCTTGACATTCTTTCTCCCTGTCCCTCTGCCCCTCCTGCTCGTGCTTTCTCTCTCTCTCTCTCTCTCTCTCTCTCTCTCTGAAATAAATAAATCTTTAAAAAAAAAAATAAACCAGAATGCATGGGAGTCCTCAGACACACGCAGAGCCACATCCACGGCTGCTCTGTTCCCAACAGCCAGAGACGGAAACGACCCAGTGTCCACGCGTGGATGAATGGACAAACAAAATGTGGATATAAAGACAAGGAATAACCCTCAGTCTTAAAAAGGAAGGAATTCTGGGGCGCCTGGGTGGCTCAGTGGGTGAAGCCGCTGCCTTCGGCTCAGGTCATGATCTCAGGGTCCGGGGATCGAGTCCCGCATCGGGCTCTCTGCTCAGCGGGGGGCCTGCTTCCCTCTCTCTCTCTCTTTCTCGCTCTCTGCCTGCCTCTCTGTCTACTTGTGATCTCTCTCTGTCAATTCAATAAATAAAATCTTTAAAAAAAAAATTAAAAAAAAAAATGGAAGGAATTCTGACACCTGCTACCACAGGGATGAACTTCGAGAACATTATGCTAAGGGAAGAGGCCAGACACAAAGGGCTGTGTGTGGTTTGCTTCCATTTAGAAGAAATATCCAGAAGAGGTAAACCCGCAGAGACAGAAAGCAGACTGGTGATTGTGTGGAGTTGGGGGGCAAGGGGTCAGGAAGCAGGGGTAAGTGCTCATCAGTCCCCAAAGGGAGTGAGCGGCGGCGTGTTTTGGAACAAGATAGAGGCAGTAAATGCACAACATTGTGACTGTCCTCGGTGCCGCAGAATGATTCACATTTAAAGGGTTAATTTTATGGGATGTGAATTTTACCTCAAATTTCTTTAAAAATGGTTGGAGAGGGGGTGAGGGTAGAGACAGGAGACTCTTGCTGAGCTCAGGGCACAAAACAGCAGGAGATTTGGGGGAGGGGGTGCAGTGACCAGAGAGGTGGACCCACCCTCCACACACAGTTGGCCAGAAGGAGTTTTCATGGCCTTTTCAATGGTTTTAAGAGTTGGCCCAGGGGTGCCTGGATGGCTCAAATGGTTAAGCGTCTGCCTTTGGCTCAGGTCATGATCTCAGGGTCCTGGGATCGAACCCTGCATCTGGCTCCCTGCTCAGCTCCCTGCCTCTCCCTCTCCTGCTGCTGCTTCCCGTGCCTGTGTGCTCGCTTGCTCTCTCTGTCAAATAAATCTTTAAAAAAAAAAAAATAGTTGGCCCAAATGTGGTCAGTGCTGGGTTTTTGGCCCTTGGTGAAGCACCCCAGAGGGCATCATGAAGTAAAGACGGTCAGACCACAAGATTCAGAGTGCAGTGGTGGGTGCTCCCCACCTATCCTCTGAACATCTCTCTCCCTCCCCGGAGCTCAGGAGGGGGTGGGGCACAGCATTTCCTTTGGGGTTCCCAAGTTTGATCTGTATAAAACTGAAATAAACCCACTGAATTGGGAGCAAGGAGGAAATTGCATTTAAAACAACAATAATAAAATATCAGAACCATCTCCCAGATGCTGACTGTAGGAAAAGTGGTGGGAAGGCACCGACCCTAGCCCCCAGATTTGAGCCAGCCACGTTTACAGAAGGCGTGGATCAAAACAGCTGACTCAGTCAACGGATGGAACTGTGTTCTTCAAAAAGACTTGGGGAGGGGCCCCTGGGTGGCTCAGTGGGTTAAGCCTCTGTCTTCGGCTCAGGTCATGATCTTAGGGTCCTGGGATCAAGACCCACATCGGGCTCTCTGCTCAGCAGGGAACCTGCTTCCCCCCTCTCTCTGTGCCTGCCTCTCTGCCTAGTTGTGATCTCTGTCTGTCAAATAAATAAAATATTAAAAAAAAAATTGGGGGAGGCAGCAGGCAGAGGGGTGCTGTTCATGACCACAGATTTTGTTTCATAGCTATGAGAAGGAATGTATAAAATATAGAAGATCCAAGAACATGCTATTTTTTAAAAGATTTTTATTTATTTATTTGACAGATTTAGAGAGCACAAGCAGGGGGAGCAGCAGGCAGAGGGAGGGGGAGAAGCGGGCTCCCCAAGGAGCAGGTAGCCCAATGCAGGGCTCGATCCCAGGACCATGGGATCACGACCCGAGCCGAAGGCAGTCGCTTAACCAACTGAGCCCCAGGTGCTCCAGGAACAGGCCATTTTGCAGAAACATCCGCTTCCTCCGGCTCCCCCCGCCAGGAGGTGGGGTTTGAGGTGGCTGCTGGAACTCCTCCCCGTATTGGCTTCAGGTTTCAGTGAGGTCCATCTGTCCCCTGGACGTGGTGGAGGCTTTACACGCAGTGCCTGCAGAGCTGGGGCTTTCGGGAGTCATTTGTACAAACTTCATGGTGGAGTTAAGACCCACCCAGCGGGCGTGCCTACCTCTTCAGAAGGGTGTGATCTAGAAAAATGTCCTGCCTGTGTAGCAAGCACACTGACAAGTGACCAACTTCTGAGTCAGCTTGGCTTGGTGACCCCTATAAACCAGGACAGTCTCAACACTCCACCCTCCTCCTGTGCCTTCACTCTCCGACCCCATCACTGAAACGTTATGATTGTGAATCTGTAAAACTTTGCTCCCCGCCTTTTGTTTTTTTCCCCTTGCATTTAAAAAATGCAGTGAAATCCACCTGACCTAAAATTTACCTTCTTCATCACTTGAAGGTATACAGTTCAGTGGGATTGAATATATCCATCAGGTGCTGCCCCCATCACCACCATCCACCTCCAGGACCCTTTACCGCTTGTGGAGTGGAGACACTAAACTGTAAATCCATATTCCCCTGCCCCCTCCAGCCCTGACAACCACCATCCTGCTCTCTGTCTCTGTGAAGCTGACTACTCTAGGCACCTCATACGGGTGAAATCATAGAGTATCCAGGGCTGTGTGTGTGTGTGTGTGGCTTATTTTACTTTGCACAATGTTCTCAAGGTTCATTCATGTTGTAGCATGTACCAGAATTTCCTTCCTTAAAGACCGATTGATATTGCATTATATAGATATACCATGTTTTGCTTATCTGTTCTGGGATCCTTATCTTTTTTGTTACTGTTGTTTGTTTTTTTTTTTTTTTTCCTGATTGATTGTATCCATAGAGATTGTAAATGTATCAGTTTCCTGAATCTGCTCTAACAGTGGGGCCTTAAAACCGCAGAAACTTACTCTCTCACGGTTGCAAAAGCCAGAAGTCCAAACCCAAGGTGTCAGCAGGGCCACGCTGCCTCCAGAGGCTCTCCGGGGGAGCTCTCCCTTGCCCCTTCCAGCTGGTGATGGCCTGTGGCTGTGTGACCCTGATCTCTGCCTTCCTCTACATATGAATTCCCCTCTGTGTCTTCTCTCTGTGTCACCCCTCCCTCTGCTTTGCTCTTAGAAGGACACTTGTCATTGGATTTAAAGCTGACCCGGATAATCCAGGATGATCTCAAGATCCTTAGTTTAATGATTACGCCTGCAAAGGCCCTTTTTCCAAACATTCACAGGTTCCAGAGATTTTATGTGGACATA